GGTGGTGTAACCYGAATAAACCCCCTTGGATTTGCATAGCTCTGGGAGTTTGTGCTCCAGCAAAGCCCAGGCTGGGCTGGATGAGCTCTGCTAATGAGCTTTGCTAATGCAAGTCCTACAGGAGAGGCAYGATTTGGGTGTTTGACCTCCCTGTGAGCCCTGAACTCCAAACTGCCTCATTTTGGGGTTAAGACACAGAATCCCATGGTTTGGGTGGGAAGAACCTTAAAGCTCATCCAGTGCCACCCCCTGCCATGGGCAGGGACACCTCCCACKRTCCCAGATTGCTCCAGCCTGGCCTTGGACACTCCCAGGGATCCAGGGGYAGCCAGAGATTYYCTGASCAATCTGTGCCAGGGCCTCCCCTCCTCCCTCCTWTGTGAGGAATCTTCCAAATCTGTGATTCAAAACCCATCACTGAAAGCCATTATTAACACAACAGCAACGCTGCTCTCCCCAAGGACTGAGAATTCCCCATCCCTGTGCTGAAGGATTTCTCTCCCTGACATGCACACCGTGGTTTTGTCTGGTTTTCCATTATTCAGCCCATGTGGCTTTTACCACTTCCCTTGGGAGCCTCCAGCGAAGCCCAGACCCTGCATTGTTCCAAACATTTCCTGATATTCAGCTGCTTCTTCCTTCTATTCATGCCCAGCAGAATTGTGCTCCTGCCTGGCTGCGCCCTCGATTGTTTGGGGTGCTCCCAGCCCTTTCAAACTGGGATTTTTTTTTGCTGTCAGAGCCCAGAATAAAATCCCTGATTTACTCATGACCTTGGGATTTATTGAAATTTAATCTCCCTCCATGCTCCTGGCCAGGAACAGCAGCCAACCCTGGGCATGTCCTCTTTTGGTGTCTTCTCCCCTCATTTCTTCCCTGTGGTTGCTCTTCTCACAATTCTGGCTCTCCACATTTCCCAATTTTTTTGGTGAAATTTGTTTTCCTCCAGAAAAACACCAGCACTTGCTAATATCATGTTCCAGTTAGCCCAGGGGAGCTGTGAGGGATGAAATGTGGATTTGGGATCTCCTGGTTGGGAGGAACCTTGAGGATCATCCAGTTCCAAACCCTCTGCCATGGGCAGGATCACTTTCCAATCCACTAGACCTTCTTAAAAATCAAGTTCCATCACGCCTGGAAGAGGAGCTGTCACTGGGGTTTGAAAAAAATCAAAAAACCCAACTCAATTTTCCCTGTTTTTCATTAAAACTCTTCTCTGCAGCATGTGAAGACAAAKGGAAATGTTTTGGTCAGGCAGGAGCAAAGCCACAGCCCAAGAATCAGGCTCTGCTGGAAAACACCTGCTCCCCTTTCCAGGAATAAAATTTCAGAGTCACTGGATCCTCCTGTCAAAACCACAGCGTCCATTCCCAGTGGGATCTGCCACTTTGAATTGGGGAAAAGGAGCCAACAAGCCCAGATCCCATGGAAAATATGGACATGGTGAGAATCTGAACTCCTCCTAGAGGAGAGGATAACCAGGAATTTCTGTCCTGGATGTGATTTCTGCASGGACACATCACAGGCTTGRTTTGGAAATTGCTCARTGCCATGGKAAAGGTAAGGAATGAGTGGGAAGACTGTAAAATCAATCCCTTCTCCATCAACAAGAGAAATTAAAAGTTCTGAAACTACTAAAACAACCTTGAAAGAGCCAGATTAAATTCCTGTAGGACATGGAAAACAAAGGAGAGAGGAGTGCTGGAGACGGGGAGAGGGCTCTGTCTGGAGGGATCACTCTGCTGTCTCATTGGGGATTAAACAAAAGCAAAGGTTGAGGATAAAATGTGAGGTTTGAAAGGATATTCAAGTCCAGGCCTTGGTGCCACTGGAGAGTATGGATTTGCCTGACCTAGCAAATGACACAAATTTTTATTTTTCACTTTTTCCCCAATTTCAGCAGCTCACGATGCTGCCTTTGCTCGAGTGCATTAAACACAGGAGGGTCAAAACATTTGGAGAAGAAATATCCTGGCATCTGTTGGCAAAAAGTGCTCTTTGATGGGAGAATAATGGAATATTAAGTGCTGATAAATAAACAAACCAGGATTTTTAAATGAGGCCTTTTTAAAATTGCAAGGGGACAGCTTCAAATGGGCACTTGGCTTTTGTTTTTCTCTTTTGCCATCTCTCCACAGCACTTAAAATGATTTAAAAATTCTTCCAAATGCTTATTTCAAAACTCCAAAACCTGAAAAGATGATGCTGTGTGCTTCCACTTGATTCCAAAGGGATTTTTGGTTGCTGTGTTATAAAACTTTTCCAAGAGGGTTTCAAATGGAAGCCTTGGCAAACCATGGAACAAATCATTAGGGAAATCCACAGCATTAGTGAGCTCCTGAAGGGTTACAGAATCACAGAATCAAGGGATGGTTTGGGCTGAAGGGACCTTAGAGCTCATCCAGTCCCACCCCCTGCCATGGTCAGGGATATCCTCCACTATCCCAGGTTGTTCCAGGCCCTGTCCAACCTGGTTCTGCTCAGGAATTTTCCTTTAAAATTTTTTCCAGCACCATCTGTGTTTTCCCTAAAGTATTTTTTTCTCTCTTTTCCCCAGGAAAATGCCAATATTACTGATTTTTTCCTTTAGTTTTCCTGGGGAAACCCTCTATTAAACATCCCATTCAAACACAATTGAATGTGTTTTTTTTAATCACCCCAACAATGATCTGTTGGGGTCACTCAGAYACTAAACATTATCCCACAGGAATTGTGATCCTAAAGCTGATRTTTTAGAAGTTTAGATGCTTTTAAAGCTAGAAAGCTTTAGATGCTTTGGAAGCTGTGTCTCAGGATGAGAGAACAAGACAGGATGTCGCAGATGCRTTGCAAACAGGAAAAAAATTCCAAAGACAACAATTTGAGGCACAAAATTGACATTTTGGGGTTGTGTGGGGTCCCTCCTTCCCCAGACAGGGTCTCTAAATCACTCAGATGCCACAAAACCATCCCTGGATGATCCACTCGTGCCACAGCAGCCTGTCCATGGATTCTTGGGATGGAGAGCTCCCCTGAAACCTCAGGAAGCACCAAAGCCTTGCAATATTCGAGGCCCAAATGACAAATTAATTCTGCTGGTGYAGGGAAGTGCAGGAAGGAAAGGAGCAATAAAGGAAGAAAGTTGATACCTCGATCACATCAATTCCAGTGGCCTTGAAATGCCAGCTGGATTTGGGCTCTGCTCTTTGGCTCCTTGGAGGGCTCCTAAGTGCCCTGAAGTAGGAAAATTGGCACGAGAAAGCCTCAATTGAGCAGGTTTGACAGCAGAAAATTCAGCGTTAATTAGGGGGAAATGCAATATGTTCATTTTCTGGGCAAAATGATCCCRTAAATTCAGGTGTTGGTGCCTGGCTGAAATCAGTGGGAATTGCACATCCCAGCCCCAGAGCCACTCCAGCACTGACACAACCAGAGACACCCCAGAAGTGACATTTCTGTGGGGTTTCTGTGCATGAGCAGCAAAAATCTGCCAAGAGGGGGTAAAACTTCTGCTCCAGCGTATTTGTGCCTTCTCAGCAGCCACGGTTTCCAATAAGATAACAGCCTGGTTTCCCTTGTTTTCCAAAATAACTCCAGATTATTGATGTCCTGCCAATGTTTTAGCAAGGAGAGTTCACTAAATCCCACCCTGTCCCAMGTCTAGGATGAACACCATGGGATCAGGGTGGGGACACCAAAGGGGTTGTGCAGAGATGAAGAGCCCAGGAGTCTGCTCCTTGKTTTTCCATTTTAAAGCAAACACTTTTCTGTAACTGGAACCAAGAAGAGAGGCAGCCTCCTCCTTTCTTCATGTTTGGCAAATAAACCTCTCTTAAGGGCACTGTGTTGGAAATGTTTGTACTTTATTTATTTTAAAAAAATACACAGAGTGGGCTGATAGCACAACRTTTGGCCTATTTAGGAGGAGAAGGTTGAAGGCATCCATGTATCCCTTTGAGTTCTTTGGAGGGCAGTAGGAATACATTTCTCTGGGGATGTTTTTTTTCTCATCAATACCMAAAATGTTATGTTCCATAGGGAAAATATTGGAATTTTAATTTTTTTGGTGTGATCTCCACAGGCTGGAGAGCAAGCATTATGGCTCAACCTGTAGTTTGCACTTTTTCAGCTCCTAGCTTTGGCTGCAGCAGAGAAAATGCTTCTTTTAAAAGAAAAAAAATCCTAAAACAAGTGGTGACTGAATGAGCTGCTCACTACAACTTCTGGATTTAATGGCAACCATGGATGGATAAAAAGTTGGAATCACTAYGATGGTTTTGAGGGTTGGACTCCCCAAAGTGCATAAATCCCATTCCCAAAATCCCGTAACATTATAAAGAGTTGTTCTCCCAGCCCTTGAAGTTCCCAACAGCTGAAGACTTTTGTCAAGAGAGTTTAATTAAACCAATAACTCCGGAGAGAAAGCAAACATCCCAGCCAGGCACAGCTGCCTGGGTCCGTTCCAGCCACAGCAAAGTTGGCACGATCACCACATTCTGCCTAAATTCTGGAAGAGGCACACAAGTTTTGGGTTAAGATTTATTCTGTATTTAATCTTTCAAGGGGCTGTCAGTTTCCTCTCTAATGGGTTTGCCCAGCCCTGGCAGTTTTGAAGCTCAAACTCAAGATGTTAATCTGCAAAAAGGTTTCAGTGAGCTCATCCTGATCTGTGTCAGCACACCCAGCTCCAGACATCCTTCTTTCCCCAAAAAAAAGCTTTCAAATGCCGCGGTGTTGGTCAATCGGTCCCCACTGAGAGCTCTGACCCTCGCATGAGAATGGGTGTGAAGAGCAGCCGCATCTCCCCAGGGATCAGCAKTTCAGCCGCCTGAAAATGCCCACAAGCCACGGAACTGGGATTCCGCATCAATTTACTGGTGATAGTGGTGGGTTTGACACCCCGAGCCTTCTGCCAGCCCCCACACTCAGTGAGGCGATGCTTTTGGCCACCCCGCCACCGTTCCCCCACCTTTGCCTCCTCTTTTTTTTACTAAACAAACAAAACGGACCTTTGCCCATGGGGAGCAGGAAACATCTGCACCGCCACCGCTCTCGCTCCCAATCCACGCTCCTGTTTTTGTGTTTCGTTGAGGAGAGAGCTCGCAGAGGCTGAGGTTCAGCAGCCGGGAGCTGCTGGGTTGTTATATGAGATATTCAGGAAGTTATTTGCATGGAGGGGGATAAAAGCCYGTGGCAGCAGCCGGGCGCGCTGCAGAGGCGACTCAGCCACGGTGGCCACCGGCCCAAGGAATTACAGCCAGCCCAGCTTCACAATGAGTTGTTTACTGGCCTTGGCTGCGAGTGGGAAGAGCCAAGGAGAGCGGAGGAAGAGGAGAGACAAACACAATGCGAGCGAGACGCGTTAGGGGGAGGCTGGGCTTTAGCAGCAGCCCCGGGATTTCAGCCCTACGGACGCAGAGAGGGCTGAAAAGGGAATAAAATGAACCATCCGCCGCCTTGCTGCTGCTGCCAGAAGAGCCTGGTCCCTACCTGAAGGGCTGATCTCGAAGGTAAGAAGGGAAAATGTGCAGTTTTTAGGCGGAGGGCGGGTTCGCCGCGCKGCTCTCGGGGGCAGCTCCCAGGCAGACCCAGCCACGCTTCCCTGAGTATTCGTAATTACGGCCCTGCAAATRGAAAGCTGGCCGGTTTTCCAGCAGGAATCCAGCGCTTTCAGGGCAAGAGCTCAGACCGTTTCACTCAGCTCCTTTGAGAAGATTTTAAAACAAAACAACCGCCCCCAGCCTAACGAACAGCGCCTTTCTAAGTCTGCTTAGGGAGATRTTTGATTTTCACGGCCAACTTTGCTCTGCAGCTTCCCAACCTTACCCAGAGCTTTCCCGATCCTCAGCTCCCCCCTCTCCTCCTCACTTTTTTAATTGGAAGCCAAAACAATCGCGGCCGCGGGACGGAAAATCCGCGCTTTGAGGAGCTTTTTCCCCGCTCCTTCCCATCGGGCACGATCCCCGGCTAATTGCTCAGGAAATCCTTGCTGCTCATTGTCGGGCTGTCCTTAAGCTGCTAATTCCGAGCTGGGAGAGGCTCTCTGGAAGGGAATCCATGCCTAGAGCCCCGCGAGAGGGACCCAGCGGAGACCCGGGGCGGGGCGGGCTCCGGCGCTAATAACACATCGGTGCCCAATGGAAAGCGTTTCCTATGGAGACCCCCAGGAGTTCCCCCCAACCCACAGCCCCTGCCCCACACATTGGGCCCATTCTCCCGTCCCGTTTTCCCAAGACACGATGGCAGCGGCGCTGGGCAGCCCCGATCCCGCTCGGAACAAAGGCCGGGCAGCTGCCACCCAGCGCGGAGTTTGAGGATGAGCGGCTGAACTTGGACAAAGTGGGTTTTTTTTT